CCAACAACGTCTTTAAAAAGTCCTACATCAGGCCGGGTGTGGTGGCTCAAGCCTGTAATCCCAGCACTTTGGGAGGCCGAGGCGGGTGGATCACGAGGTCAAGAGATCAAGACCATCCTGGTCAACAAGGAGAAACCCCGTCTCTACTAAAAATACAAAAAGTTAGCTGGGCATGGTGGCGTATGCCTGTAATCCCAGCTACACAGGAGGCTGAGACAGGAGAATTGCCTGAACCCAGGAGGCGGAGGTTGCGGTGAGCCGAGATGGCGCCATTGCACTCCAGCCTGGGTAACAAGAATGAAACTCCGTCTCAAAAAAAAAAAAAAAAGTCCTACATCTTGATCCAATAAGAATCTTTGCAGGAATGTAAAGATGTTTTACAATCAGAAAATATATCAATGGATTAACAATTAATACATTAAAATTAAAAACTACACGTTCCCATAAGTGATACAGAAAAAAATGTTTTATAAAGTTTAACAACTACAATTTTAAAATTACAAAGTAGGAATACTGGAAATTTTTCTTACTTTGAAAAGTTGATTTATAAAAAATCTACAGCAAAGTTAGACTTGCGGTAAACTATCCTTTAAGATCAGGAAAAAGACAAGCCATTGGAATATCCTTGTTATTGTTTAATATGATACTGGAGTTTTTTGTCTGCATTATGAAGAAAAGAAAAAAGTATGAGGATTATAAAGGTAGAGATAAAACTGCTGATATTTACAAATAATATGAGCATCTAGAAAAAGCAACAGAATCAATAGTCAAGCTGTTAGAGTTTAGCAAGATTAACATACAACTCAGAAAAATTAATGGCATTTCTCTTTATTGGCAATAACCAAATATAAAATGAAATACATTTTGTCCACTACTATGTAGTCAGCATCCAGTGTATAGTAGGTGCTTAATAAACATTTGTTGAATGTCTAAGTGAATGTGGCTTATGATGAACTCGCTGTTTTTGGTGCTTCCTGTTCTAATTACTACATGAATCTCCATCTTTGCAATCTGAGGGAAATCAGGGTTTAGTCTGGATAGACCTCTAACTGCACCTGCAGGCTATATCATTTGTAATGTTCTCCCCACAATGTCTTTCCACAGAGCAAAGCTATCTTCTTCCCGGCTTTCTTTCCCAAGTCTGAAAAGAAGAATCAGGGGCTTATCACTCATTAGTTCTTTTCATACTACAACCCAGGCCAGTGCTGAGGTTTGAGGGTTCTTTACTGTCTTTTGTCCAGTTGCTTAGCTGGACATGTCTGATCAATCAGAACAATCTTCTGGGTAGGTTGTTTTGACCAGTACAAATTATTTGAGTAATAAAATCTTAATCCAAAAAATATCCCTATTACCTGAAATCTAGCTTTTGATTCCATTTCTTTAGCCCGAAGGTCAAGACTGAATTATCGCAGATAGCTTTTGAGATGTAGCCTCTACATTCCATACTTTAATTATCTATCTGCACCTTGAATTTCTTTTTTTAAAAAAATTTGGACCAGGTACAGTGGCCCATGCTTGTAATCCCAAAACTTTGGGAAGCCAAGGTGGGAGAATTGCTTGAGCCCAGGAGTTTGAGACCAGCCTAGGCAACATGGCAAAATTCTGTCTCTACAAAAATTAGCTGGGTATAATGGAGTACACCTGTAGGCCTAGCCACTCAAGAGGCTGAGGTGGGAGGATCACTTGAGTCTGGGAGGTGGAGACTGCAATAAGCCATGATTGCACCATCGCCACTCCACCTTGGGTAACAGAGTGAGACCCTCTCTCAAAAAAAAAAAAAAAAAATTGTTTTTGTAGAGACAGGATCTTGCTATATTGCCCAGCTGGTCTCAAACTCCTGGCCTCAAACAGTCCCTCCTCAGCATCCCAAAGTTCTGGGATTATAGTTGTTGAAGCACCACACCGAAAAAGCACAGAAAACAGTAGTATCTTCACAGATAACTTTTAGCTAAGTTACTTTAATGAATCATTGGACTTGTGGGTTAGCAACAAGTTATGATTAGCAACTTGATCACAACCACATGTATATATATTTTTGAGATAGAGTTTTGCTTTTATTGCCCAGCCTGGAGTGTAAGGACACAATCTCGGCTCACTACAACCTCTGCCTCTCAGGTTCAAGTGATTCTCCTGCCTCGGCCACCCAAGTAGCTGGGATTACAGGCATGTGCCACCACACCTGGCTAATTTTGTATTTTTAGTAGAGACAATGGTTTCTCCATGTTGGTCAGGCTGGTCTTGAACTCCCAACCTCAGGTGATCTGCCCACCTTGACCTCCCAAAGTGCTGGGATTACAGGTGTGAGCCACTGTGCCCGACCCCATATTTAAGATGCTTGTAATCGGGATTGGTCTGTACAGCATTTCTAAGTTTTGACAAATAGCTTTGGAAACTTACATGGATGACAATTAACATTTTCTAGTGTCAACATGGACTTGTGACTTCTATAAACTTAACTTTCATTGTTTCATTTGATAATAACTTGTCAAGGACCAAGTAATCATATGTATTCCAAAATAGAAGTCTTGGAAAGATCACCTGAGGTTGGGAGTTCAAGACCAGCCTGACCAACATGGTGAAACCCCGTCTTTAAAATAAAAAAAAATAATAATAATAAAAAGATAGAAGTCTTGATGAATAGGCACATTTGCAAATTGTAGTGAATTCATGAACATCACAGCAAGTCTCAAAATTAAAATCCTTCTGATATGATTTGGCTGTGTCCCCAGCCAAATCTCATCATTAATTGTAGTTCCCATAATCTCCACGTGTCATGGAAGGGACCCAGTGGGAGGGACCTGGTGGGAGGTAACTGAATTATGGGGGCGGTTAGCCCCATGCTATTCTCATGGTAGTGAGTGAGTTCTCACAAGATCTGATGATTTTACAAGGGGCTTTTTCCCCTTTGCTCTGCACTTCTTTCTCCAGCTGCCATGTGAAGAAGGGTGTGTTTACTTTCCCTTTAGCCATGATTGTAAGTTTCCTGAGGCCTCCCCAGCCATGTGGAACTGTCAATCAATTAAACATCTTTCCTTTATAAATTACCCAGTCTCAGGTATGTCTTTATAGCAGCGTGAGAACAGACTAATACACCTTCCTTTCGAAGTGGAGAAAGAAATACTTCGATGCACATGTATTTAATGCATATACATTTAAAAAATAATGTTACAGTTTAAAAAGCTAATTCAAAACCAGCACTGCTCTTGAACTTCCTTTTGGTGACATTTACATATCTGTCCTCACTGCAGGGGGACTAGTGTGAGTCATGGTTCATGCTGTTGGAATGCCACCAATTTCATTGCCAGCCCCATCTTTAATTTTGTCAGGCTTGTATGATTATAGTTTCTCTTCTGCTTTCTTGGTGTATTTCTATATTTTTGTTGTTGAGAATTAGTAGCTGGACCAGATGTGGTGGCACATGCTTGTAATCCCAGCACTTTAGGAGGCCAAGGCGGGTGGATCTCTTGAGCCCAGGAGTTCAAGACCAACCTGGGCAACATGACAAAATCCTGCCTCTATAAAAAGTTTAAAAATAAAAATAAATAAATAAATAAAATCTGTTTCTTCCTCACCTCTCCTAAAACCTGTCCACTTGAAGAATGGCGGGGAGTTGGAGGGTGGGTGGATTCTGCCTGTACTCACTCCCTTTTTTTGTTTTCCACATCTACTACTTTTTACTGTTCAGCCCACTGAGTCATTTTTGTGGAGAAACTCATTTTTACAGTGCTCCCATTCCTCTGGATTTTTATTTGGGGCAAGCAGAAAACACACAGCTCACACAAACCACTCATAATGGTTTTAATACTGGACCTGCTAGGTCATCAAGGCTACAAAGCAGCCACTTACTTCCTGGCTATCAGAGAGTCACAGAAAAATGTTGAGCTGAGATTCTGGAGAGGATTCACCCTGGATCTGTATCTCCCCAGCTAGTTCCAATGCACCCATCCAAGACCATACCGGTTCCAAAATTGTCCAACAGAGGATCTTACCCACAACTGCACAGCCTGTTGGAGATGTCTAAAAGCTAAATTCCACAGTTAAAAATGGTTTAAATTTTCCCTAGCTTTCCTCAGAATTCATGAATGAAGCACCTTTTTAAATCCAAGAACCCAAGAAGGGAAAATAAATCTGTGTGATTGGTTGCACAGACAAATGGACTAAGAAAAGCCCCAATGCCCAGTCCCCTGGCATACTTCCTATTAGGATGGAGGTGAAGGAGTTTTTTTTTTTTTTTTTTTTTTTGAGACAGGGTCTGCCTCTCTATTGCCCAGGCTGACATTGCAGAGGTAGGATCATGGCTTCCTGCAGCCTCAACCTCCCAGGCTCAAGCAACCCTCCCACCTCAGCCTCCTGAGTAGCTGGGACTACAGGCTCACACCATCATGTCTAGTTAATGTTTGTATATTTTTGTAAAGCTAGGGTCTCATTATGTTGCCCAGGCTGGTCTCAAACCCCTAGGTTCACATGATCTTCAAAGGGGATTTTATTTTTTTATTTTTTTATTTTTTTTATTTTTTATTTTATTTTATTTTTTTAGACGGGGTTTCACTCTTGTTACCCAGGCTGGAGTGCAATGGCGCGATCTCGGCTCACCGCAACCTCCGCCTCCTGGGTTCAGGCAATTCTCCTGCCTCAGCCTCCTGAGTAGCTCGGATTACAGGCATGTGCCACCATGCCCAGCTAATTTTTTGTATTTTTAGTAGAGACGGGGTTTCACCATGTTGACCAGGATGGTCTCGATCTCTTGACCTTGTGATCCACCCACCTCGGCCTCCCAAAGTGCTGGGATTACAGGCTTGAGCCACCGCGCCCGGCCTAAAGGGGATTTTTGAGTAAGCTAAACATGTTTTACAAAACCTGGCAGTTGGCTCTGTCGGGGAAGAAAAACATTTGCAAACGAAGATCTCCAGTGTATACCTATTCACTTTTTGTCTAAATAATCTGTGAAGTTGGGTAAAGAGTCATTTCAGACATACTCTCTGTGGTACACTTTTATACAGGAAGCTCAAGGAGATATGCATCTGCGAATTAGCATGAACCCACGCAGGTCTGCCTGGCTCAGAGTTCCAGCTTCGCACCACTGTGTCCCACTGAAACAACGAAGCACAAACTGGAAGAAAAACGATGTGAGATGTGAATACTCAACAACATTTTTGATACAGGGAAGGCTTTTCAAATTAAGAAATGAGGAACATTTTTCATAAAGTTGATTACATGAAATTTAAAGGTAAGCATTAAAACTCTTAATATTTGAGAACAAATGACAAATTTGGGAGTAGATATACTAAATTTGGCATAGAATTCGTGTATTTTATTTATTTATTTATTCATTTATTTATTTATTTTGAGATGGAGTCTGGCTCCCATCACACAGTCTGGAGTGCAGTGGCGTGATCTCAGCTCACTGCAACCTCCACCTCCCAGGTTTAAGCGATTCCCCTTCCTCAGCCTCCTGAATAGCTGAAAATACAGGTGTGTGCCACACGCCCTGCTAATTTTGAATTTTTAGTAGAGACAGGGTTTCGTCATGCTGGCCAAGCTGGTCTTGAACTCCTGATCTCAAGTGATACCCTCACCTTGGCCTTCCAAAATGCTAGTATTACAGGCATGAAGGAATTAGTATATTTTATATAAGTATTTATATATATTATTTTAAAAGTTAAAAGGTACAATTAAAATCATTTTAAGCCAGTCATAGTGACTCATACCTGTAATCCCAGCATTTTGGGAGGCTGAGGCAGGCTAATCACTTGAGGTCAGGAGTTCCAGACCAGCCTAGCCAATATGGTGAAAGCACGTCTCTACTAAAAATACAAAAATTAGCAGGCTGGGCGCGGTGGCTCAAGCCTGTAATCCCAGCACTTTGGGAGGCCGAGGCGGGTGGATCACGAGGTCGAGAGATCGAGACCATCCTGGTCAACATGGTGAAACCCCGTCTCTACTAAAAATACAAAAAACTAGCTGGGCGTGGTGGCGCATGCCTGTAATCCCAGCTACTCAGGAGGCTGAGGCAGGAGAATTGCCTGAACCCAGGAGGCGGAGGTTGCGGTGAGCCGAGATTGCGCCATTGCACTCCAGCCTGGGTAACAAGAGCGAAACTCCGTCTCAAAAAAAAAAAAAATTAGCTGGGCATGGTGGTGGGCACCTGTAATCCCAGCTAGTCAGTAGGCTGAGGCAGGAGAATCACTTGAACCCGGGAGGCAGAGGTTGCGGTAAGCCAAGATCACACCACTGCACTCCAACCCAGGTAACAAAGCAAGACTGTTTCAAAAAAAAAAGTCATTTTAAATAGTAATGCTCTTGAATGGCCATTCTCAGAAAAGGAAATCAAACCAGTCAGGATAAATGGAAAGACTTAATTTGATGAGTAATTATAGGAATCCCAATATTAACCACAAATTATCATTTGCCTGACAAAATTAGCAATGATTCTAAAGTTGCAATAGCCAATTTTAGCAAGATCAGTAAAAGAAGGCAGCTCACACTTTTCTCAGGACTGCATAAATTAATAATTGAGACAGGGCTGGGTGCAGTGGCTCATGCCTGTAATCCCAGCACTTTGGGAGGCCAAGGTGGGCGGATCACCTGAGTTTGGGAGTTCTAGATCAGCCTGACTAACATGGAGAATCTCTGTCTCTACGAAAAATGCAAAATTAGCCAGGCGTGGTAGTGCATGCCTGTAGTCCCAGCTACTCTGGAGGCTGAGGCAGGAGAATTGTTTGAACCTGGGAGGCAGAGGTTGCAGTGAGCCAAGATCACATCATTCCACTCTAGCCTGGGCAACAAGAGTGAAACTCCATCTCAAAAATAATAATAATAATAGTAACAATAATTGAGACAACTTTTTGTAAAGTAATTTGGTGATTGTAATACCTACACTAGAAGAGCCCAGACATTGTTTCCACTCCCAGAAAGTATTTATACCCTTTGACTCAATACTTTTCTGTCTTTAGGAAAGAATTCAAAATATGGAAAAGGATGTATGCACAAAGATGTTTATTCTGGCACTATATACGTGTTACCAGGCCATACCCATCTAGAGTTGTACATGAGGTCAACATCACGATAATAAAAAGCATTCTTCTAACTGTCCCTATCTGCTCCACGAGGTCTCCAACTGCCAGGAAAGCTCTGTGTTCTATCATTAGCTTGTCTTAGGTACCCAGCATCTGCTCCTATATACTCTGGTATGTTTTCTGTGGCTACATTTACCAAGAAACTTAGTGATGCCATGCATACCCCTATTAGGATCACTGTTGCTACTACAAGTACTGATGCTACCACAAACATGGCCAGCACTCAACAGTGAGATTACTGGTATAAGCATCATCTGTCTTGGTTGCACCGGAGTGACAGCATAGATTACATAGTGGCTAACGAATGTAGTGGTTTATTAAGGTGAATGTTTCTCAGAAACATCAGTGACCAAGAAGGAATTTTCAGCCAAGGGAGATAAAACTTGTCTAGTTTAAATGTATACGTGCTATACCTCTTAAAAACAACTAAAGTGCTTTGCGAATGTTTGCTAAGTAAAATTAATGATGTTCTATGATAGTAACAACAGAAGTAACCTCAAGACTATATCCTCTATCATTAATATGGGAAATTATACTTGTTAAACTATGATTTTCTTACCCAAAATTATCAATTGTATCATAGGAAATTGAATTTGGTCACTAATAATGTGATCATCTTGGCTGGGTGTAGTGGCTCATACTTGTAATCTCAGCATTCTGGGAGGCTGAGATGAGTGAATCACTTGAGCCCAGAAGTTCAAGAGCAGCCTGGGCAACATGGAGAAAACCCATCTCTACAAAACATACAAAAAAATTAGCTGAGTGTGATGGCATGCACCTGTAACCTCAGCTACTCAGAGGCTGAGATAGGAGGATCACTTGAGCCCAGGAGGTTGAGGTTGCAGTGAGCCAAAATCATGCCACTGTACTCCAGCCAGAGTGACGGAGCAAAATTCTATCACACACAAAAAACCATATATAGGCCAGACGCAGTGGCTCATGCCTGTAATCCCAGCACTTTGGGAGGCCGAGATGAGTGGATTATGAGGTTAGGAGATCGAGACCATCCTGGCTAACACAGTAAAACCCCATCTCTACTAAAAATACAAAAAAATCAGCTGGGCATTGTGGTGCGTACCTGTAGTCCCAGCTACTTGAGAGGATGAGGCAGGAGAATTGCTTGAACCCAAGAGGCGGAGGTTGCAGTGAGCCGAGATCACGCCACTGCACTCCAGCCTGGACGACAGAGTGACTCTGCCTCAAAAAAAAAAAAAAAAAAAAAAAAATATATATATATATATATATATATATGTATGTATATGTATATGTATATTTGTATGTATGTATAAGTCGATCATCTCTGACCTTGGCCTCTCAGGTCTTTGTATTGTTTATTTCACCAGTATATAAATCGTATAAGGTCTCTTGCCAGACAGGAAAAGGTCTCTAACGATTACCTAGGCTTTCCTATTTAAAGGCTGTGCAACTAAAACAAAATTGTGTTCACAACTTAATCATTTTGAAGGCAATGCTAAAGTCTTGATTTTCTACAGAGTAGAAAGAGAAAGGTTAAATTAGTCTTCCAAAAACATGTGAATGGAAAATTCCAGAACATACTCTGTTGAATGTACAAAATTACATTTTCAAGGTATTTTGTACTGAAAAAGAAGACATATTGGTAGCAATTCTGTATCTAACTTTCCCATTTGCTTTTCTCTTGGCACAAAGGTGTTGTTTCTATTTTTTTCTTTCCTTTTGCTTTCTAAATGGAAAAACCATCTGATTCAATCCAAACCTACAAATGCCTCTTTCTCCCTGAAACTCTACAGAAAACAAAAATAAAAAATCTGAAGTTTTTTGGAGAAAAGGTGGTGTCTCACTGGATCAATTCATTGTTGGGTGAGGAAGATGGGAAGCTCAACTCATCCTTCCTCAGCAGATTCTACCCTGACAAAACCTTACTCCAAAATTGACATTATTTAAGCACACAAGTGTTATAGTTTCTGGCTCTCAATTCTTACAGTCCCTCCCCAAACACTGCACAATCTGACTCTCATTCTCCTTGACTTTCTGTTCCAGAATATCATCCGACATATGTAACCTGTAGTTCAGGTTCTTCCACCCCTGGGATAGCTCTGCGAAAGTCCTAGTTTTTGTATCCGGCTATTTGCAGCTCAGGCTGCATTGCTCTGTTCAATTCGTCCTAGGTCCTCAGTTTCTTTCTTTTTCTAGGAACTCTTTTTTTTTTCTTTTAAAATTCTAGGTTGGGGGATGCAGGAGTATAAACTATCTTCCACGTATTCTCTTGCTGCAGTGTTTTCTGAAAGCATTTTCCCTTGGGGAAGTGCCTGGTAAATTCAAAATAGTTACTGTTAGTTTTCTGCCAGAAATATCCTTCTTCAAAACTTCTCTTGGCCCACAGCTCTGGTTGTATGACTATGTCTGTCTCTACCACGTTCTTCTACTGTGAGGAAATTCCTGGACGCAAACCACCGTCAGCTTACATTACTTCCATTCCTTGGCATCATTCTACTAGCAGGTTAGATGTCACAGTGGACATTCCTAGCTAGACTGTGCCACGTTCACAGCCCACCCTCAGTGCCCACCTCCCTGTGCCTCTATGTATATCAAAGCTACCCTGCATATAGTCTGCCTGGGTTTCAGCTGTCCCCCTGAGATGAGAGCGACCCATCAAGAAGTGTTAATCTGCAGCTGTGCTTGCAGGGACAAATGATCAAAGAACCAGTTGCCTCCTCATTTTCATTTGGCTATCCTTTTTTTCTTTTGCACTGCCTTGAATATATTTCTTGAATATAGACCAGTTAGAAGAGCTGCCAAGCTTTAACATATTTCATCTTAACATCTGCACATACACCATACAACATTAGCAATTCTGGGGGAAAATCTCCAGTATGAAATTTCTAATGACTTCACTATTGCTAGGGTTTTGCTGGTATACAGAAGAGTTAACATAGCAAGCCTGATTGCAACATTGGCCTTAGGCTGGTGTCTGGGAACTTGGATTCGAGGAGTGTTCCCGCCATTCCCTAACTGACAAGGGTGGCTCATTCTGCCTAGACTGTACAAACAGTGTCATTTATGCTGGACACCTGCTTTCCTTCAGGGGAACTGGAATTTTGGTACATGCTAGGCAGAATGTGTCTATGTGGCCAGACCCTAGTAAAACTTTGGGTGTTGAGACTCTAATGGGTTTCCCTCTAATGGGCAGAAACATTCGATGCTTATTGCTGGGGAAACATATTTTCATTGCTGAAAGGAGAGTACACTGTGTGATTCCTTGTGGAGGGGAGGGCAATAGGAAGCCTGCCCATGAATTTCTCCAGGCTCTACCTGAGTCTTTCTCCCTCCTCATCACATTGCCATTAATAAACCTTAGCCATGAATACAACTATATTCTGGGTCCTGTGAGCCCTTCCAGTGACTCACCAACTGGGGATATCTGTGGGCACCCTCCAGATGAGTAATTAGATTGATGAATCCCAATGTTTCCAATAGAGTCAAAGTTGCCGGTGCCATCTTCCGTCTATGTAACCAAGCTACTCAGTATGTCACAGAGGGTTTAATGAAGCCACTTGTTTAAGTTCTTACTTTTTTCTTTGTTGGTGTCCCCCTTAGCTGGAACTTGGGCATGAGCCCGAGTCTGGGCTGAAGTAAGATACAAGTAACCAACACTGAGCTGAGCACTCACTCTCTCCCTTGACCTTGAACCACTCACTGTCTTTGTGAGTCTTAACTCTCTTCCATACAAAGTATTCTTTGCCTATGAAATTTCTGTGCCTTTCAAATAAATATTTAAAAATTATTATTGTTAGGCTGGGTGCTGTGATTCTTACCTGTAATCCCAGCCCTTTGGGAGGCAGAGGCAGGTGGATGGGTTTGAGCTCTGGTGTTCAAGATCAGCCTGGGAAACATGACAAGACATCATCTCTACTAAAAATACAAAAATTAGCTGGGTTTAGTGGTGCGCACCTGTGGTACCAGCTGCTCAGGAGGCTGAGGCTGGAGAATTGCTTGAATGCATGAAGCAGAGGTTGCGGTGAGCTGAGATTGAACCACTGCACACCAGCCCAGGCAACAGAGCGAGACCCTGTCTCAGAAATTTCATATCTATTATTATTATTTTAGAGACAGAGTCTTAGTCTGTCGCCTGGGCTGGAATATAGTGGTTCAATCATAGCTTCTTGTAGCCTCCAACTCCTGGGTTCAAGCAGTTCTCCTGCTTCATTCAGCCTTCTGAGTACCTGTGACTACAGGCATGTAGCCATACCCCACTTATTTTTTTTTTTTAAGTTTAGTATAGATAGGGTCTTGTTATATTGCCCAGGCTTGTTTTTAGATTATTTTGAATGAAAAAATTAGGACACCACTGAGAATTGCTAAAAAGTCCCTCCTAAGCAACACTCATCCATCTGGGTATAAATCTAGGTCAGTAATCCATACCAGCACGTCCTACTCACCCTTAGCCTTCCAACATAATTCACAAACCAAGGTAATAAGACCTCAATTAAGGAATGGTGCCTGTTTCACAGTTCAGCATGACTAATAGCTGATATCTAAACAAGGCCCCCAATCTAGCAAGTAAAACCCAAACATAACCCAAAGCCATCCTTGGGTGGCTCCTCTGATTCAATTGTAACAAATCCATGTTCAGTGTTCCATGATAGTCCAGTGTCCTCCCACAATGTCTGTGAGCTCCCTGGGCTTGCCTCCTCCTGAGTCTACTAGCTATTTTCAAATGTGAGCTCTATTTTGTTCCAATGTCATTAGGATATTTAGCTCCTTCACCAATTTCCACAAGAAAATTGATTCATTTAGCTGGGCATGGTGGCACGTGCCTGTAATCCCAGCTACTCGGGAGGCTGAGGCAGGAGAATTGCCTGAACCTGGGAGGCGGAGGTTGCGGTGAGCCGAGATCGTGCCATTGCACTCCAGCCTGGGTAACAAGAGCGAAACTCCGTCTCAAAAAAAAAAAAAAAAAAAAAAAAAAAAAAGAAAATTGATTCGTTCCAATATTCAGAGTTTTTTTTATTTATTTGCTAGCGATTAAGGAATCCATTATGTAACCCAGAACCATTCTCTCTACTCTTAATTTTTTCTTCTAAAATGGGAAGTTCCAATTTTTTTTTTTTTTTATGTCTCTCTCTTAGGAAAAGCAGTTCATTTCCTTCCAGGAAGTTTTAGTATCTGCTGGTACTGACGCCCAGTTTGTATTTAAAAGTTCCTTCTAGCTGCTAGATGGTGAAAAGACTGAAAGAGGCAAGCGGGTAGGCATAGGGACCAGTATCAGGTTATTTGAGGAGATGATGGTGGTTTGAACCAGGTAGTGGCAAGGCTGATAAAGAAAAGTGCATGAGTAGGAATATTTTGGAGGCGATGCTGTAGTACTTGCTTATCGACTGGATTGTAGGTGACTATTGAGGGAGAAGAATCTCAGATAATTTGCAGGTCTCTGGACTTGGGGCTGGAGGTCCCAATTACTAATGGGGAAGGCTGGCGAGAAGTAGGTTTGAGTGGTATATAGCTAAGGCTTGGTTTGGTGGCCTGTAACAAAACGTCTGCTATACATAGTAGCTTAAACAAGGAACGGCATCATTTTTTTCTGTAACATCCCAGAACTAATGTTGGGATGCAATGATATTGTTTCTCAGGGTCCTTCCAACCTTCCATTTTTTCACCTTCAGCTTGTGGGCCTCATGATCATGAGGTGGCTGCTCTATCTCCGTGTATGTTCCATGCAGATAAAAAGAGAGAGGATTGATTCTGCCTGCTTTTTAGAAGCTTTCCTAGAGGCCCTATCCAGTAAATTCTGCTCATGCCTCTGGGCAGAATTGTCATGTGATCACTTCTAACAATAAAGGAACTTGGCTAACAACTTTTTAGCTAAACATGTTGCTATTCTAAACAACTTTGGGATACTTGCTAGCAAAGAACCAAGAGAGAATGCAGCTAGAATCACCTGTTCCAGATGGAAATCAGTTCAGTTTAGAACATGTTAAGTTTAAGATGCCAAAGGGGACTCTTTTTTTTTTTTTTTTTTTTTAATTCTTGAGACAGAGTCTCCCTCTGCTCCATCACCCAGACTGGAATGCAGTGGCGTGATCTCAGCTCACTGCAGCTTCGACCCCCACCTCAGCCTCCTGGGCTCAAGTGATCCTCTCACCTCAGCCTCCCGAGTAGCTGGGACTACAGGCGCACCCCACCACACCCAGCTAATTTTTGTATTTTTTGTAGAAATGAGGTTTTACCATGTTGCCCAGGCCAGACAGGAGGCTCTTGGGCTCATGAATAGTTGGAGCTTGGAAGACACCCTAGGCAGAAGATATAAATGGGAGTGTTTGGTCTGGTGATGGCCTTTGTCTTTTTACTTGCAGTGGAAAGTATTCTAGTTGATTCAGAAGAGGTTGATTATGCAGGAGAAAAGAAATAATCCAAGTAGCCTAGGAAGGTTAGGAAAAATGCAACCCAAGTACATTAATCTTCGGTAGGAGGAGAGAAGCTTCCTCCATTGTCACAGAAAGAAAAGTGACGATGGGCCAGACGTGGTGGCACACACCTGTAGTCCCAGCTAATCTGGAGGCTGAGGCAGGAGAATTGCTTGAACCTGGGAGGCAGAGGTTGCAGTGAGCCGAGATTGTGCCACTGCACTCCAGCCTGGGCAACAGAGTGAGACCCTGTCAAAAGGAAGGAAAGAAAGAAAAAGGAAGGAAGGGAAGGAGAAAGGGAGGGAGGGAGGAAGCAAGAAAGAGAGAGAAAGAAAAAGAGAGGGAGAGAAGATGGGTGAATATGCAGAGAAGTCTGTAGTAGTCTTGGCTATAAAAAGACAAAGTTTCTGCTCTAATGTCTTTTAATCTCGCAGTGAAGCATCAGTTAAGAACAGTTGAGGGGTGAGGCTTAAGAACTGTGTGAAAGGATAAAATTGTCATCAAGTTTTGTGAGTAAGCAAATTTACTGGAGAATCTCTGGGGTTGCTGGGCAGTGTCTCGTGTGCCTCTGTGTTGTTTGTGATCATTAGGGGAAAACCAGTCAGTCTAGTTAAATGCTTTTCTTTTCTTTTCTTTTCTTTTTTTGAGACACAGTTTCGCTCTTGTTACCCAGGCTGGAGTGCAATGGCGCGATCTTGGCTCACCGCAACCTCCGCCTCCTGAGTTCAAGCAATTCTCCTGCCTCAGCCTCCTCAGTAGGTGGGATTACAGGCACGTGCCACCATGCCCAGCTAATTTTTTTTTGTTGTATTTTTAGTAGAGACGGGGTTTCACCATGTTGACCAGGATGGTCTCGATCTCTCGACCTCGTGATCCACCCGCCTCGGCCTCTCAAAGTGCTGGGATTACAGGCTTGAGCCACCGCGCCTGGCTGTTAAATGCTTTTCTCCAGCAATGTTCAGGGGCTCATGGAAAGGTATAGAGAAGTTAATGGTTGCTTTTATTCAGGGTTAGGGTTATGCCAGGCGTGACTGATGGAGAAAGAAAAAAGCAAGGGAGGCAAAAGCATTGCCAGGGAGTGATTATAACAAAGCACCTTGGAATTTTTTTTTTTTTTTTTTTTTTTTTGAGACAGGGTCTCTCTGTTACCCAGGCTGGAGTGCAGTGGTATGATTACAGCTCACTGTAGTGTCAACTTTCCCAGGCCCAAGTGATCCTCCCACCTCAGTCCCCCAATTAGCTGCAACCACAGGCATGCACCACCATACCTGGCTAACCTTTTTTAAAAAAAAATTCATGGAGATGGAGTTTCACCGCATTGCTCATGCTGGTTTCAAACTCCTGGCCTTAAGCCATCTGCCACCTCAACCTCCCAAAGTACTTGGATTACAGGTATGAGCCACTGCAACTGGCTGGAATCCCATCTGAACTAAATTGAACTGAAATGTGTGCCCACTCTGATAATAGGGATAAAAAGCCAGAAAACCAGAACGAAGGGAAAAAGAACACAGAAATAAAAGACTCAGAAACTGTTAAAGTTGAGCTTTATGCTGTGTCTACTCAGCCAACTCATCATTCCTGGTTCCTTTCCTGGCAGGAAGCTTTTCACAAGGCCTGGCAAGTGTGGTGAACGAATTAGCAAACCCCAGCAGTGCATTTCAGTGCCAGCCAGAACAAGCATGCCCAGCATTGTCCAGGTAGAGCTCTCGGCCTCAACTTTGGGGACGCAACCAGGAGACGTTTCTTCTTTCCAGCCTTCCAGAAAGATCAAACACTATAGATCACTCACTTCCTGACTCACCTTTTCCTTGCCAAAAGCTTCTAGCTGGGCAGGTAGTACTCTGGCAGGTAAATGGGTGTTTGTTGTCAAACCCTAGCCTCATACAAAGATAATCTGGGGGAGCCAGCGTGGGGCTGGTGGGGTACATGTGGAAGGAGATGTTCTGATGTCTGTGTGGAGGTAAGGAGATGGCAAGCTGGGAGTGTGTGGTGCAGACAGGTCAGCACTGGGGTGATGATAACCTGGAAAGAGATCATGAGATAACAAGCACAGCCCTCCGCACACATTGTGTGGTCTCAGAATGCCAGGCAGGAGTTGAGGCTGGGAGAAACTTCCAGGATGATGGAGTACAGTCCCAGGACCTCAGTGATGTGTGCAGAGTGGGGCATTAGGGAATACAAGGTCATTTCAATTACACACAGGTACACACACATTCACCCTCACACCTAGATCACCACTAACAACCCAGATCCCTGGGTTCCCTGCTGCTGTGGTCTAAATGTTTGTGTTCCTTCAAAATTCCTGTGTTGAAATTCTAGCCCCAAAATAATGGTGTTAGGAGGCAGGGCTTCCTAACAGAAGTGATTAAGTCATGAGGATGAAGATTGAATGAATGGAATTAGTGCCTTTATAAAAGAGGCCATAGGCTGGATGCAGTGGCTCACACCTGTAATCCCAGCACTTTGGGAGTCCAGGGTGGATTACCTTGAGGTCAGGAGTTCAAGACCAGCCTGACCAACATGGTGGAACCTCGTCTCTACTAAAAATACAAAAATTAGTCAAATGTGGTGGTGGGTGCCTGTAATCTCAGCTACTCAGGAGGCTGAAGCAGGAGAATCACTTGAACCTGGGAGGCAAAGGTTGCAGTGAGCTGAGATGGCACCACTGCATTTCATCCTGGGTGACAGAGTAAGACTCTGTCTCAAAAAAAAAAAGAGGCCTTGAAAAGACCTCCTCACCACTTCCACCATGCAGGGTCATACAAGACACCTATGAGAAAGTGGGCCATCACCAGACACCATTTCCCAGCACCTTGATCTTGGACTTCCCAGCCTCCACAACTATGAAAAATAATTGTTGTTTATAAGCCACCCAGTTGATAGTATTTGGTTACCAGCTTACTTAGCTTACACAAACTAAGACACCTACATAGAAAGCATTAATATAGTGCTTCCCAAACAGTAATGTGCTAAATCACCCCTGGGTCTTGTTTAAAATATAGATTCTAAATCAATTGGTCAGTAGTGGGATCTCAAGTTCTACACTTCTTTTTTTTTTTTTTTTTTTTTTTTTTTTTTGAGACAGAGTTTCGCTCTTGTTGCCCAGGCTGGAGTGCAATGGCGCCATCTCGGCTCACCGCAACCTCCGCCTCCTGGGTTCAGGCAATTCTCCTGCCTCAGCCTCCTGAGTAGCTGGGATTACAGGCACGCGCCACCATGCCCAGCTAATTTTTTGTATTTTTAGTAGAGACGGGGTTTCACCATGTTGACCAGGATGGTCTCGATCTCTCGACCTCGTGATCCACCCGCCTTGGCCTCCCAAAGTGCTGGGATTACAGGCTTGAGCCATCGCGCCCAGCAAGTTCTACACTTCTAATAAGCTCTCAGCTGATGCTGATGCTACTAGTCCAGGGACCACCTTTGAGGAGCAAGGCTCTAATCACTTAAGAGCCATTCATTCCCACAACCATTCCTCTATGTCCTGGGGCTACCATTGAATTGCTTGAGTTCAGCTTCTCCTGAATAACATTCTCCAGTTGTCTATTCTGAGGCCCTGTGTATGGAATGGGGCCTCATTGAACATAGGGTAGATGCACTGGGGTCCAAAGACTCTTGGACTAACAACTTCCATCACTTTGAAGTAACTGAAGAAACTGTCCTCCAGCTTTAGTCTTGAACATATGTAGATCATGGTGGTAGAACCAGGCGGTGCCTACCACTTGGATTTTTTCCTCTGGAGCAGGTGCCAGTTTACATACTTCCTTTTTTAATAATAATAATAATAAAAGATGGAGTCTTGCTCTGTTGCCCAGGCTGGAGTGCAGTGGTGCCATCCCGGCTCGCCACAACCTCCACCTCCCGGGTTCAAGCGATACTCTTGCCTCAGCCTTCCCAGTAGCTGAGACTACAGGCACATGCCACCATGCCTGGGCTAGTTTTTGTATGTTTAGTAGAGACAGGGTTTCACTATGTTGGCCAAGCTGTTCTTGAACACCTGACTATGTGATTCACCCACCTCAGCTTCCCAAAGTGCTGGGATTATAGGCATGAGCCACCATGCCTGGCCTCACATGCTTCTTCTAATAGATTTGTCCCTCCAGGGGTTTTCCTGGATGTCCTTGGTAGCTTATATTTCTCTTGGGAGCACCTCACCTATCAGGATGTCAGTGGTACTGCATTGACTGAGGAAGTAATGGGATAAACTATAGTTGCTATGAAATTGGGTGTTCTGGAAGAAGTTGTGCACAGCATGCTGGGTGGTGAGGACAGGAACCAATGGAGATATTGGAGGAGGTATAGATACGCAAGTTCTCTTCAAACTCTTGTGGTCACTGATTAGTTGGGGTGAGAGCCATTAAAGTACCCTTCAAACCAGGAGATAAGCTGGGGACCATAGTGGCACTGGGGAGAGACTGGATGGTGCATGACTGTATAATAAGACAGGTTTTTTGTTTGTTTGTTTGTTTGTTTGTTTGAGACAGGGTCTCACACTATCACCCAGACTGGAGTGCAGTGGCAAGATCATGGCTAACTGCAGCCTCAACCTCCCAGGCCTAAGCAACCCTCCTGCCTCAGCCTACTAAATAGCTGGAACTACAGGTATGCACCACTGTGGCTGGCTATTTTTTGTACTTTTTTTGTAGAAATGTGATTCCATCATGCTGCCCAGGCTGGTCTCAAACTCCTGGATTCAAGTGATCCACCTGTCTCAGCCTCCCAAAGTGCTGGGATTATAGGGATGAGCTACCATGCCTCACCCCCCCTTTTTCTTTGTTTTTTTTGGGGGGCTGTTTTGTTTTGTTTTTGACACAGAGTCTCATTCTGTCACCCAGGAGTGCAGTGGTGCAATCTTGGCTCATTGCAACCTCTGCCTCCCAGGTTCAAGTGATTCTCCTGCCTCAGCCTCCCAAGTAGCTGGGATAACAGGCTGCATGGCCACGCCCAGCTAATTTTTGCATTTTTAGTAGATGGGATTTTGCCATTTTGGCAAGGCTGGTCTCGAACTTCTGACCTCAGGGATCCACCTGCCTTGGACTCCCAAAGTGTTGGAATTACAGGCGTAAGCCACTGTGCCCAGCCAGAAATATTATTCTTTTGATTTTTTTTTCCAACCATTAAAAATGTAAAAATCGCGCTGGGCGTGGTGGCTCAAGCCTGTAATCCCAGCACTTTGGGAGGCCAAGGCGGTGGATCACGAGGTCAAGAGATAGAGACCATCCTGGTCAACATGGTGAAACCCTGTCTCTACTAAAAATACAAAAAATTAGCTGGGCATGGTGGTGCGTGCCTGTAATCCCAGCTACTCAGGAGGCTGAGACAGGAGAATTGCCTGAACCCAGGAGGCGGAGGTTGCGGTGAGCCGAGATCGCGCCATTGCCTCCAGCCTGGGTAACAAGAGCGAAACTCTGTCTTAAAAAAAAAACAAAAAACAAACAAACAAACAAACAAAAAAAGTAAAAATCACACCAACGAAAACAACAGAATCAAAAGACAACTTATGGAATGAGGAGAAATATATACAAATCATTTATCTAATAATGGGTTAATATCCAGGCTACATAAAGAACTACAATCAACAACAACAAAAATAACTCAATTTAAAAACTGACAAAAGACTTGAATAGACATTTCTCCAGAGAAAATATGCAAATGGCAAACAAGCATAAAAAGATGCTTAACATCACTGTCATCACAGAAATGAAAATCAAAACTACGGCCGGGCGCGGTGGCTCAAGCCTGTAATCCCAGCACTTTGGGAGGCCGAGGCGGGTGGATCACGAGGTCAAGAGATCGAGACCATCCTGGTCAACAAGGTGAAACCCCGTCTCTACTAAAAATACAAAAAATTAGCTGGGCATGGTGGCGCGTGCCTGTGATCCCAGCTACTCAGGAGGCTGAGGCAGGAGAATTGCCTGAACCCGGGAGGCGGAGGTTGCGGTGAGCCGAGATCGTGCCATTGCACTCCAGCCTGGGTAACAAGAGCGAAACTCCATCTCAAAAAAAAAAAAAAAAAAAAAAAAGAAAAGAAAATCAAAACTACAATGAGCTATCCCCTCATACTCATTAAGATGGCTACTCTTGGAAAATAATTAATGTTGGCAAGGATGTGGACAAATTGGAATCCCTAGGCATTGTTAGTGGGAATGTAAAATGGTGCAGCTGCTATGGAAAAACAGAATGGATGCTCCTTAAAAGATTAAAAATAGAACTACCATATAAGCCAGCAATCCCACTTCTGGATATATAGCTAAAAGAAGTGAAAGCAGAATCTCAAAGAGATATTTATATACCCATGTTCATTGCAGCATTATATACAATAGCCAAGTGGTAGAAGCAACTTAAATGTCCATAAACAAATAAACGGATAAAGAGAATATGGTACATGCATGCAAGGAAATATTCGGTCTTTAGAATGGAAATTGTCAAATGCTGTCATTTGAGTGAATCTTGAGGACGTGATGCTAAGTGAAATAAGACAGTCACAGAAGGACAAATACTGCACAATTCCACTTACAGGAGGCATGTAAAGTAGTCAAACTCAGAAACAAAGAATTGTGGTTGCCAGGGGCTGGGGGGAGGTGGAAGTGAGCAGTTGTTCAATGGGTATAGAATTTCAGTCGTGCAAGATTAAAACGTTCTAGAGGCATATTGCACAAATGTGTGAATATTGTTAACACTACTGAACTGCACATATGGT